AACCTCTCCTTCATGAGTCCTTCCCACAAAGTTGGAGCTGCTCCAGCATGGGTTGCTCACAGAATCACGGGCTGCTTCAGCAACAGCCACATCCCCTGGGCCCGGGACTCCCACAGCTGCATAATGAAGAGTCCACTAGCAGCAAGTCAGAGTCCTGCTGGCGCCTCGAGGGAATGTTCCACCATGTTCCTCCATTAATCCAGGGGGACAGCCGTAAGTTGCAGGAAAACTTCTGCTAGGGCATTTCCTTCCCTTTCTTCCTCATAAACCACCGGGATCTTCACCGAAGCACTGCCTTGCACCTCTCCAGCTCAGCTCTTCTCTCCCTTAACTGCTCACTTTGCTCAGGTCTCATTTCACTTCTTTCATATATTAATAAAAGAGGCGCATCTCTTGTCTCCCTAATGGCTCCTTGGCTGGTTTTGGAGCAAGGGAACTTCTCATCTTCTTACAGGACCTAGCCCTGGGACCCTTCCCCCACTACCAAAAATCCCACCAAACCAGCACAGATACTCATTCCTAGTAAACCCCTCTGTGTTTGTTGTGTCCCTGTTACGCATAGGAACATAGTGTTTTTAAACGGGGCTGAGCATAATGTGGTGTATTTATTTATACCTCTGACAACTGAATGAGGAGTGCTCTGGCTCCAAGCCATATCTCTCAGCAATATTTTCAGATCATTAGGAAATGGCTTCTCCAATGTATCGTGCATTTCCTTTTGACATCTTAATGCAGTTTCTAGGTCACTGAGCTAAGAAAGGACTATAGGTGCCACTAAAGGTGAAGGAGAACCATTTTTCCTTAAAGAAGAACCAGCCACAAGCTGGGCTAGGTTGATTGTACTTAAAGAAGTCAATAATTGTCATATGCTGTCTACATCCTTTACCAGATCATTTCAAGATTAAGAAATTATATTAGCTTCCACTCCATCTGCAGGAGTTTGTGTGCTCCTGCTTTCAGGCCACTTGTGGTGAATAGAGGAGGTTGCTTATGGATCTATCCCATTTGCTGCAAATCTGTGATGGGAAGCCAGAGGGGCTCTCCATGAGGTCCTAGGTGTTGGGCCTGGGGATGGGTCATGAAGTTTCAGCAAACTAATCCATAAGGGCTAAGAGATATTTGAAAGGCTCCACTCCTTACTATGCTGCAAGTCCCCCAAAGGGATGGTGCAGTGTCAGGGCCAGGAAAGGCTCTGGGAGCCCCAGGCCCTCACTGTCTTCTGCCCTGCATGGAGCAGAAGTGCATGGGCTGGGTGGAATGCCAAGGAGCTGAGCTCAGGCCAAGCAAAACATGCAGAAAACACTATGAAATTCTTTTTTCTGCCCTCTCATCCCTCTGTTCTAATTTCACCTCTGCAGCCTGCCTGTGAAAAAGGAGTGCTGCTGCCAACAGGAGAGGTTTAAGTAGTTCTTTGGGGAAAGGGAGTGGAGTCTGGCCTTTTCCACTTGCAAAATTTAATACTTAAGGAATCCTTCCTGCCAAGAGATTAAGTTGAACACTTGGCATCTGCCAGATTCAGTGGAGCAGCAGCTGGGGGGGCGTTGTATCGCCTGCTCATCTTCAGATGAGAGGCTCTGGGGCAGGGGAGCAGGGGCCAGAGGTGCTGCCTCGCCTGAGGCAGTGTGGCCCCCCACTGCCCTCCAGAAGACAAAGCCACTTCACCAGAGGGACAGACTGGCAATACACACACAGCTTCTCTCTGGGATCTAGAAACGATCCTTGCTAAGGTGCAAAAGCAACTTTTTCCTCCTGAGCCCTTACGAGTTGAGCCTGAGCCTTAGTCACCATTGCCACCCTGTGCTCTGCCAGCATGCGCTGTCCCAAGGCAGGTGGCAAGAGCCTCTGAGAGCTGCCTGGGGAGGAGGCAGCTGCTCTGTGGGGGCACTGCCAGGGGATGTGGATGGTTCTGGCTGTCTTGACAGCCATGGAAGGCTTGGAGGGAGGTGGGTTTCAGGACAGCAGGCAGCTGTCTGCATCCGAGGGAGCCTTGGCAGCTGCCTGTGCTTGCTGGTCATGCTGGAGGCCAGATGGAGCAGGTGGGCACCGAGGAGCAGGCCCCACTGCTGCTGCCCTCCTGCAGCCCTGCGTGGTGGCAGGGCAGGGTGGCCCCACTCAGCAACCGTGCAGTGGGTGAGGGAGTGCTGTACTCAGGGTGTGAAGGTCCTTTCTGTTTTATCAGAAAAAGACACAAAAATAAATGCAGACACCGGGAGAAATTCTGCAAGCAGCAATACTTGTGAAATGCCCACTGAGCCTGTCACAGCTTCATTTAAATGCAGTCTTGCTGTGGTAGCTTCAGTGCAGTTGCTGGGTTTATGCTATACTTAAAAGCTAAGAGTGTTGGTGATACTTTTCTGAGGAAGGACTTGTCACTTGTCTCTTCAACTGGAGAGGCTGCAGCTCCTGGTATCTGTGTAAATGCTCTGGTTTCTGAAGGTCTTCAGCTGCAGCATGTTCTTACCTGTTGTCTTTTCAGTCACTATTCAGTCATGGTTATTTAAGCTCTGGGATGAAAAAGAAACTATTCCTTTGTCTGTCTGTCCCTCTGCTTTGTTGCATCCCCTCTCAGATCACTGGTGCGGGAGACAGCGATGCCTTTGCTGGTTTCTCCTGGGGATGAAGCATGTGGCAGCCGCGGAACAAAGCCTCCATCTGCTGGCAGCAGACCCACACAGCAGCTGAACGCTGGCTCACGACTGCGGGGTTGTCCCAGAAAAGAGGCAGAAACCTTACTGGGAATCAGGGTGATGCCTTGGCTTGTGTGGTGTTCCCTGCAGGGCTCGGCCCCTCCAACTGCCTTATCCCCAGGCATCGCAGGGGCTTGTCCTGGCTGATGAGGCAGGGAAGCAGTCTGTGGGTTCTCTCTCTGAGACCTAGAAATTCTGGTCCTGGTCCTGAAGAAGGTTCTCAAACGGTTATTTTAATGTGTTCCTGCCTGATGAAGCCACAGCACCAACCAGCATTTCTTTTCTGAGGCTGACTGGGGGCAAGATGCTACCATGCAGGCAGTTTCAGGAGGGGAAGCAGAGGGATTTTTTTTCTCAGTGTCTGATAGTGGGCTCAGCATGTTCACACTCTCCTAAGGGTACCTCAGAACTGAGTCTTTCTGGAGTGTCTCAGAATAAACTTAAAAGGCATTGTGCAAAGTATTCTTCACAAGTAGTAAGAGGTCAGAGGAGTTCCCAACATTGATGCTTGAGGCTGGGGCATTTTTCGATGTCAAGTTTTGCCTCTTCCATCTCTTTTTTTTCCCTTTTGAGCAACTTGTGAGTGCTGAGTATGTTACCAAAGGAGACTTGAATGCAGACATGTTTATTTTTATAAATTGTTTTTGAAGACTAGCAAAGGAATTACTAATGGATCTGAGCAAAGATAGAAGAGCACAAAGGAGAAAACACTTTAGCAATAAGACAGGGGAGTGCTGAGGTCTGCCGGGTTGTTATTCATCCCCCAGCATACACTGGCAGCTCCTTGCCCATGGAAGTCAATGGGGTAGTGTCCCATGGCTGATGGTCTGGGAGGACATTGGTGAGCTTTAGGCTCTGGGCCTATGCTGGATCTATACTTATGGGGCCTGGGTGGTTTACCTGAAGGTGGTAAAGCCACCTCCAGAGTCACCTCTGCAAAAAGCATCAGCTGCATATGCAGTGCCTGTGAGCTACTGGCATGGAGTGTACTGTCCCACTTCACCAGCTGCCTGTGACTTCTGGAGTGCTCTCAGAGAGCAATCACTTCCCACCATCAAGTGCTCTCAATTGCCCATATTTCTGGAATTGTTCAAGTCTTCCCCCAACAGCATTTTCCTTTCCAAAGGTGACAGCTGAGAACTTTCCATGTCCAGTCTCCCCCTGTGCATCCCCCCAGGAAGCCAGATATGCAGTTTGTGGTGGGACACTTGTGTCTGCCAGGTGGTGACAACATACTCTTCCTGCAGGAAGCGCATGGTGCTGGCACCAATTGCAGAGGCTCCAGGGGCGTGTGTGCACCATGTGTGGGAGGCACCTTTACAGCCAGTGGACAGCCCAGGTGGTCCTTGTGGCCACCAGACCTGGCTGGAAGGGAGATGGTGCCCAGAACCCTGAAATCTGGGTTCAAACACAGCCCGAGGAACTGTAAGCTGCCTCAGAGGTCCTGTCTCTCCAACAAGGGTGGCACTCAAGGAGAGGTGGAGGGAGGATGAGGCAGTGAAAGGGGAAGCAGCTTTCCCAGGGTCACACACCTGGGAAGCCAGTCTGCCTTTCAGATCACACCAAGGTCCTCCACCCCAGGGAAGGGGTGGCTTGCCCACATACTCCTCTGGCCAGCCTGCATGCCTAACCCCACTCTGTCTCCTCCAGGTATCTCTCAGCCACGAGTGCACTCGTGCCATCATGAAGCTGATGTACTGCCCGCATTGCCGGGGTATGTCCAGCGTGAAGCCGTGCAACAACTACTGCCTGAACGTGGTGAAGGGCTGCCTGGCCAACCAAGCGGACCTCAACACCGAGTGGAAGTACCTGATGGGTAAGATGGCCTTCCCCTGCTGCAGCACAGCTGCCTCATGTGGCACCTCTGGAACTCTTGAGGCAGTGTTTCACAAGTAAAGAAAGGACTGTTGGAGGCTTTTGTAAACTACAATTTCTCTGTCCATGATTTGATGCATAGAAACTGTTGCAGAACATTTTGCTGGGCTTTGCCTTTAGAAAGGATGCTGCTGGTCTGGGAAAGAGCTTTCGTCTTGCCTGTGCTCATTTCTGATGGCCCACACTTTGCATTAAAGTAATTCTTGCTTCCCTCCCAAGTGCTGAAGCTTAGTGGTAGTTTGTGCCACTTCTAGACTGTTAGCTGCCTCCTCATCTGTATGAGAGCACAGGAGAAGGAGCATTTGCCCACTTTGGGAGGGGGTTTAGAGGCATGAAGCCTTAAACTGTTTCCCTGGGTGGAGAGCAGGGGGATCAAAATCACATACATCTAAATGGACAGAGGTTTCTTAAACAAATACTTAGGGAAGGCAAAGGTACAGGCATTGCCAAGAACTGGAAAATTAGACTTATGTTGTAAATAGAAGAAGAGCTTGTTTTGTTTCTGCTTTGTCACTCAGCTAAGATGATGGATATTTTAAAGGGGGTTTTATGTGTATAGTGGTGTCCACTTCACTGAGTTGAAAGACAGAAATACCACTGTGATGGTGTGGTCTGATCTCCTGTGCAACACAGGCTGGAGAACTTCAAGCAGGTGTTCCTGCAGGAAATTCTGCATTGCCTGGTCAGACTGGCATCTCTTTGAAGAAGACCACAGGTGTCACTCAGCTGTTTTTCCAGAGTCTGCAGCTCCTTGTTTAAATGTGAACTACCGCTGAGAGTGATTTATGGAGTTGATGGACATGGTTTAAGGCTGATGAAGGTCTTTTGAGAAAATGGTGTGTTAACATTGCAGCGCATGTCCTCTCCCTATCTGTGGTCCATCAGGGGAGGTTGTTTGCAGTGGTAAAGCTCTGTCTCCCCCTTGTGACCAGAGAGCATCACCCAGCAGCTCCTCTTTTTCTCCCAGGTTGTACAGTTAGACCTGGAGTGATCTGAGACCTGAGGGAGCCTTGATGTTTGTCTGGGCTCACAGAAGGCAGGCACCAGAGGGCATGAGCTTCAGACTTGGCCTTTTCCCTTCCCTTGACATCAACTGCGTGGACAGCAAGACTGCCAGCTCACTAGCCAGCTGCAGCCCGACAGGCTGGCTCAGGATTGACGTGTGATGTTGTTAACAATCAAAATCCTGCCAGAGTTCAAGGAGTGTCACCTGCCTCTCAAGGGACATGGCAAAATAAGTACTGATCTGGTGTATCCAGGCAGGTGCCTGGCTCAGGGAGGTGTGCTGGCTGGCTGCCTGCTGGCTCGGGGGGCTAACAAACCAAGTCACAGCTTACTGTGGCTAATTGGAAGTTCTCCCTGAGAGTGGCTTGGGAGGCTACTGCAAAAGAGGGGGAGGAATACTCCCTTCCCCAGGGGTTTACACTAGGACTTTGATGGCACTTTGGCCTTTCTGACCAGAGCAAGCCAACTGTTACCTGTCACTGCTCTCCTGGCAGGATGACTGCCCATCTCCTGCAAGGTCAATGTTGAGCTCTCCTTGATTGACAGGAAGGCAATTCCGGGAGCATTTTGCACTTATTCTGGCTTCCCCTTCCCCAAGAGACTGTTCTTGTCAGGGAGTGATGGCTAGGAGGAAACTGGTGCTTTTTTCAAATAGCACTTGTACATTTTAGTGTCAGGTCACCATTTGATCAAGGACTGGAGCAAGACATGGAGTCAAAGGTAGCAGTTCACTGGCATCCTCCATTCTTCACCCTTCTCCAGGAACTTCTGTGTAGCTGTAGAGCATTTTTTGACACTAAACACAGAGTTACTCTTTCAATTTGACAAATTAGGGCAGGTCAAATTATGGGAGATTTTTGCAGTAAGTGGTTCAAACATAGTTTATCACTCATTTGGGGGTGCAGCCTTTGATTTAAATGTCCGTATCTTAACATTAGTGCCTCTGCAAGCTAAAATTGTCTGGAAAATACAGTCTTGAAGAGGACACCACAACCCCTGAGTGGCAGCATAGTTAAACTGCAAGCTTTTTACTTTGCAGAAGATGTTATCTCACAAAATATGGAAAAAAAAATATTCCCCACAGTTATGGCATATTTAGCTTTAGAAATCAGTGCTGCTCCTTAGGAGTGTGCTGCAGGAATAGAGCACAAATTAATTTGTATACTCTGGCCTTTGTTTACATTCTCATTCTTGCTCAAGGTAGCCAGCAAAACCTTCTTTATTTTTCTAAGTGCTGAAAAGAAATACATAATGTTTCCAAGCCATGACTTTGCATGTTGTTAGATACTATGTTATTGACCTGAGCAAAGAGTATTTTGTGATCCATGCTCCAGGCTGGCTGAGGGCTGAGCCCTCCCAGTAGTTTGATGATTGCCCTTGCTCTCCACAGCCTGGACCTGCCTTCAGACTGTGAGCCCTGTGGGCATGATCTGGTATCTTCTGTGGGTTTGTGCTGTCTCTCATCTAGCCTTTCCCCAGCTTGGCCATTCTCTGAGAGCAGTCAGGGTCTGAAGATCAATCATGGAACAGCAGAGAGAACATACTTGCAAGGCTTGAGCATGTTGTCAATTGACAACAGTAGGCTCAGAATCAATTACTAACACACTACACTGTGGACCTGGCGCTTCTTCACAGAACTCACTTAGACCTCATCAGTGTAATCTGGAGTCTTTCTGGTGAGTCCTGGCTTGCCCAGGTGAGGGGCTGAGCACTTTCTTAGCAAGTTTGAAATGGCAGTGGTCCATGGTTGTACCCCAGCTGGCTGGACTCCTGCTCAAAGGAAATTTTCTGTGTGGCTGAAAGAGAAGTGTCAGTCCTTTAAGGCAGTATCCTGGGTGACATGCACATGGTGTAGGGTGGAGGACATGTTTTATCGATGCTCTGTTGAACTGCTGGGTGTAATTGACCTGGTGGGTTCATTGCTCATTAATTATGTTGGCAGTACCAACTTGTGCTGAATAAGCTTTTCTGCAACATCACACCATCTGCTGTGACAGTCTCCTGCCAGACTGGTGGGTGTTGTAGGTCGTATCCTGGTGATACCAGGATTTAAGACAGAAGAATTAATCACTCCTAATGAATAACTCCATTTCAGATGGTATAGGTCTCCAACCTAAACCCTAAGATTTGACCCTCTTTGTTTAGAGAATAACCAACATGAAGCCATTGCACTTGTTTCCTTCCATGTGGCAAGGCCATAGGAACACGAAGCACTTTGTTTCAGATGAGCTGGGCCACTCCAGTGCTCCAACAGATCCCTTGTCCTGCCAGTAGGTTTCTGGTGTCCCCTGGAGAACACAGACCACAAAGGGGCCATCTGAGATCCAAGATAAGAGGAGCTGAGAGCAAGAGGTCTCCTTCAGTCACTCCCTGTCCTGTTTGCCAGTTTAATTGTGGGCATTGTGGCCTGCTTCTCTGCCCATGTAGCCTGACATTTCCCTCACTGTTCACATTTTGTCTTCCAGAGGTGTTGGTGAGAAGAGTTACTCCTTTTCTCACTCCTTCACTGCCACACAAACTATTGCCCATATCCAGTGCCTTTGGCACTTTACTGACCCCAGTTCTCCCACTTTCTGCTCACTGCAGGGCTTTGCCGAAGACGTGCAATGAGTTAGGAGGGTCAGGGACAATTATTTCTATGCATTACTTAGTATTTCTGCACTAATTTTCCGATTTTACTTTCTGTGGCACCCCAGGAAATGTGGGTGACTTAGTGAATACAGGTTGCAGTTGCCATTTGGAGGAGGTGACCACTGTTCCTCTGCCACTGAGGGTGACTTGGCTGATGTCCTGGGAAGGCACAGCTGTCCCAGGCCAGAGGAAAAGGAACATACTCTTGGGCAGTAGTGAAAATGGAGAGATGTATCCCAAAAACCCTGCCAAGGGACCAATAGTTTTTCCCATCTGGCATGAGCATGATCTTTTTTAACTTGGTCTGTACAGAATCTGATGAGATGTCTGTTTTGTTTTCCTAGATTCCCTGATGGTAGTTGCTGATCGGATTGATGGAGCGTACAATGTAGACACTGTCATAGGGACCATCCACATGAGAATCGCTGAAGCTATTTCTAACTTGCAAGAGAACAAAGATTCCATCACAGCGAAGGTAAGAGTGTGTGCCTGGGCCTGGCTGAGGACACACCATGTGGAACTGCCAGGACCAGATGGTTTTTGTGCTCACTGTTCAACTGAGCTAAGGGAGTTGAGGAATCATAGGATCTTTTAATGACCTCTCTTTAGTGAGACATCATTATGATCAAATGAGAGATAATGATTACTCTTTTAAGGGAGGAAATGACCCATCTTACACAGGCAAAACCTTCTCAAGTGTTTCCAAATATGCCTCCCAAGCATTATCTAGCCAGCCTCCTGTAGGTACAGAGACACGAAGCGGGACTGCATATGCAGTGACCAGGGGGGGCATGGTGCTGCTTGCTGTCGGCTGTGTCTCAGTGTTTGGAGAGCCCTGAAGTGTTTTGGCTGAGCTGAGGCATCTACAAAAAGTGCACAGGCTCTAGATGACAGAAGGCAGCTGCTTTAACCTGCCTTGGGGTGACGTTCTGCAGTAGAAACACTGGGCTGTCAGGTTGTGTCTGTGGGATAGAGTTGCAATCTGGCAGTCCATCTGGAGAGTATCAAACAGGCTCTCCTGATGCTTACCTGTCTTCCAAGGAGTCTTAGGAAGCTCTCTTCTATTGGACTTCTATTTTTAATGTATTATCCACATAACCACAGTCACTTAACCTCTGTAGCTGCAGGCAAGAGAAACTTTGAGAACAAAAACAGCCCTCCAGGGCTTCTGCTTTTTGCCCAGACATTCCCCCAGGTCTTGCAGCTATTCCACAGTTAGAGCAGAGATGCAGATGAAAGGAATGGGGCAAGTCTTAACTTAGCCAACTAGGAATTCAGTGGCACATGTCAAAGCACTAGGACAGCAACATGCATCCACGTGCTCCTTTGGGTTTCTTTTCTGACATGAAAGGCCATATTCTTTCTTCCCTTGATAGGTGAGGCTGAGGTTGTCCACATAAAAGCAGTCCCATGGTGTGGGAAAACACGGGACCATCTGCAAAGAAAGGTGTTTCTGAGGGGCATGTAGTAAATCTGGTAAAATGCAAAGGATTAAATAGTCTTAATTTATGTTCGACTGGAGCAACCAAACAGTTTGGTAAGCTTTTCTGTATGATCTGGTGAGCAGGTGAATGTGGCAGTCTTGCTGGTGGCACTGGTGGCAGAGGTCAGCAGCAAAGGGCTGCAGCTCTAAGCTCTGGTTTCAAGCAGGGCAAAGTGATCAGGTAAAGGACATCACTGTCTGAGGAGCTCAGGACTCACCCAGGCCAGTCTGGGGGGTCTTCTCTCTCAGGCCTGAGGGCAGCAGGCTCAGGCTGCATCTGAGGCCTTCAGACACTACCAGGGCATGTTACCTGTGAGAAGGGCCAGAAGCTGCTCTTGGACCCAGTGACACCATCCATCATGGGTTCTTCTGGGAGCTGGGGAAAAAACAAACACTTCTGGTACTGAGCCCTGTGTTCAGTGCACCACAGGGCATTTCCCTGTTCCCTCACACTCTCCCTCACTCCCTGTGGCTCTCTGATGGATTTCAGGCAGCAGGAGCCATCAAAGACTGCAAATGTCAAGTTTTTCTCCTTATGCAGGATTTTCTCCTTATTAGTCACCTCAGTCTGCAGGACATGTGTTCTGTTCATCAGTAATGGGCACTGCTCACCTAAAGCCCTTGGGCTGATAAGAGGATTGCTTTGATGTGCTTTGGTGGAGGTGCTACAAGAACCACTGTCCTGGACACCTTCCCAGGGCTTTTACCTTCTAAAAGAATAGTCTCCTGCTAACGGAAATAGGCCAGTAAGCAAGATAGACCAGTGAAACCAAGTTGGTTTTATTTCGGTAGAACAAAGTTGAAAATTCTCCATATGCAGTTTTCAGGGTGAGGCTTTTTTCGTGGAGCAGAGGAGGCAGATGAACAAATGGGCTTGGTGCTGGACTGCCAGAGTCCTTGGATCCATCTGTGCAGCAGGACAGTGCACCCCAGGAGGGGGCATTCTAGGCTGAGTGCCCCTCAGGCACACGGGTGAGACCCACTATCACGAAAGGGACTCTTGTCTAGATCAGGACTTTGCTGCTGGCTGTCAGAATGCAGTGACACTGAGCAGCTGGCACATGCTCTGTCAGGGCTCCTGTCTGAGGCCTTCATGGCTCTGCTTGAAGGGGACACGGGGCAAAGTCAAATTCATCGATAGCTCTGACAGCACAGCACCCTGGCAGCCACAAGATGGAGGCCAATTTTTCAAATCAAGTTGCTCTCTGTGTAAAGGCTAATGCTTCCCAAATCGAACTGACAGTGCAGAAGCCCTTCTGACCTTTGACACTTTATTAAATCTGGCTCTTGGAGCAGAGTACTCCTTCCACCAGCCACACAAGGCTCAGTTGTCTGAATACTGGCTATCTGCAGCAGACATGTTACTGCCTGGACTGGTCATGCAGAGACTGGGAGAAATGGGAGCTTCCAGGGCAGCTTTTGCCTCCTCCTGAAGGTAAAGTCTGAGGGTTTATACCTTCAAAGTGTTTCTGCTTTCTTTTGGCTACAATGGACACCTGGGCAGGTAATTAGGACAAAGAGAGATATCCAAAGTTAGGGGTTGAATTAGTTTGGCTTCCTCATTAGCCTCTGAAACATCTGACCTGACAGATTGTGACACATCTACTGTCTTTGCATTCCCCTGATTGGAGAGAGCATTTATTTGCTGAGAGTGGATGCCAATTGCAACAGTCATTGGGGTAGTCCCACCTCGGTCTGTTCAACTCAAGAAAGCTCACATGCTCTGCAATCTTAAAGCCCACACCACTGGTGTAGTGAGTGTGAGCAACTCCTGTTTTGTTCTTCACAAAACTTTATTTTTCAGTTGTGAAAGGAACAGAAAAAATTGCTAGAAATAGTATCAACATTGGTGACTTGTCAGAAAATGTGCTAATTTTGTGTTAGTGCTGAACGTTTTGCTTGGTAGTGGTAACCAAAGCTGGTTACAGGGTGCTGAGAACACATCCTGACACAAGAATAACCTGACCAGAAACTAAGCCTGAATCTCAGAGATCTTGCAGGTAGGAAAGATGAACATAGCGTAGAAGAAAAAAAAATCCTGTAGCTGTGGGATGCTACTTCATTAAAGAAATAGTATCAAAACATGGGGTAGAGAGTTTTTATTGCTTTTCAGGTTTTCCAAGGCTGTGGAAATCCCAAAATCAGCACACAAAGGTCCAGCAGTGAGGACAAGAAAAGGCGAGGGAAGGTAACTTTGGAAGCAAAATCCTCTGCGCAAGCACTGGAAATGCTGGTGAGTTTGCCCCTGAAACTCCTTCCCCCTGCCTGCCTGGGGAGCCCTGGGACACCCCAGAGCTTTCCTGGCCCTAAGCACCCTCTTTCTTTACAGGTTTTAGATGCTAAAGGGAATCTGACAGCTCTCAAGACTTACTGGATTACTCTGCCTGGCAGCCTGTGCAGCAAAAAAGTAATGGCCAGCTCGGCACTGGATGACAAGTGTTGGAATGGGATGACCAAGGGCAGGTATGGAGAGGGTCAGGGTGCCAGGATAGCACCATTCTGGGTGAGAGAAAGGAGGCTTTGGTAAAAGGCATTTACAGGTAATCTCAGCCAGCCCTACTTGCTCAGACTGAGCCAAAAGGTCTGTCCCTGTCCACAGAAATGCTGCATTTCCTGAAAAACCTGGGAATGTTAAGCCTGTTTCATTTTGTTGTGTTTTGGAGGGATTATGCATCAAAATGCATTCACCTGAAATAATTGTGTGCTTTTGTAGTAATGAAGCAATTTTGTAATTCCACATGCACTCAGAAGGCAGAAAGGCCTCAGTAACTCCAGAGTTGTTGCTTAGGATTGCATGTCTGTCTTTCCATCCATTCCTGCTCTAAGATACTGTTCCCTCATGAGGGCAGGATCCAAGGTGACAGAAACACCTCCCATCCAAGGCTGATGGTTATGGGATGGCTGTGAGGGCAGGTGGGCAGCTGCTGAGCTTGCACCTTGCTCTGTTCCTCCACAGCATTTCTCGGCTGGTCTCTGCCAGCCCAGAGGCAGCACCTTCATTTATGATGTGTTTCAGGTCCTTGCTGGCAGTGCCACAGGTCTGCAGGGGCAGATGGGCTGGGGCACTGCCCAAGGGAGCAGGACAGCTGTGGCTGCTCCCAGTTAACTGGAGGTTCTCTGAGGGCCTGTCTGGTTGTACCAAGTTGGGGGCATTCAGCCCATCCCAGTGTCACGGTTTAACTGGGGCAGGGATGAAGGTGCTTCTCAGCCTCTCAGATGGACAGAGCTTTTCCATAGTGGGTAAAGTGTCATTTTGGCTCCACAGGTACCAGCCTGAGAGCAACCCCCAGCCCTTCACACAGCCTTTCCTGCAGGAAACCCATTCCTGTGCCAGGACAGTGAAACTACAAGGCCACCAGCCACCTCCTGCAAGCTGAGGTGGCCTCAGGTTGAGCCCTGGGCTCTGATAGGGTCTGGCCATGATAGCATGGCTTAGCCATCCCTAAAGCTGGCTGCTTCCCAGCAAACACCAGAACATGGAGGCTGTTCAACAAGCCAGTGCCACAGATGGCAGCTTCTCTGGGGTTCAAAGAGGCTGGATTATCACTGGGGTCTGTGACGGGAGAGGTGAGCTTAGCTGGGGGAGGCATCTAAACTTGTTGCCTTCCTTTGCAGTTACCTGCCTGAAGTGATGGGGGATGGCTTAGCTAATCAGATTAACAACCCAGAGGTGGAGGTGGACATCACCAAGCCAGATATGACCATTCGCCAGCAAATCATGCAGCTAAAGATCATGACAAACCGGCTGGGAAACGCAAACATCGGGAATGACGTGGATTTCCAAGACGCAAGTGAGTTCAGCGGGACTGGAGGGGTCCATGGTGGGTGAGGGGGGCTCAGTGGGATCCGTGCAACACCGCAGCTGTGCCCTGAGGGCAAAAGGGGGTTGTCCTCCTGCCTCTTGGCTCAGCTGCAGAGAGTCTGTTTGAATGCAGCCAACTTGCTGCAGGGTGGCTGGAGGCTGTGTTGCTCTCAGCACCCTGCTGAAACCTCAGATACTCTCTCTAATCCGAGCCCAGCTGACAGGGCCACTGCTCCCATCTGTTCCAGAGGTTTCCAGCTGCTGCAGCAGCAAGTGGTTAAAGGCAGCTAGAGATCAGGTATGAGCTTGCATCCCAGAGAGGGGGGCATGTAGAGAGGAGGAGGTGGCCAGGGTAGAGCTGGTGGCCAGAGCTTCCTAGAGTTACAGTACAGGGAAGGCAGGGACATTGCCCACCAAATGAAGAGTGGCTGGTGGCTCACCCCATGTTTGTCTCTGAGCAGGTGACGACATGAGTGGCTCTGGGAGTGGTGACAGCTGTCCTGATGATGTCTGTGGCAAAAGACTTTCTAAGAGCCCCAGCACCAGGCGGCCAGAAACACACGCTATTCCTAAGCAGTCTGGACACGGCATCAATGGGGCCAGCAGCACATCTTTGCCTTCTGCCTTCCTCCTCCTTTTGGTGGCTTTCACTGCCACGCAGCAGTTGTGGCGGTAACTCACTCGCACAGCCAGGAAAGAGACTGCGGCCGAGGGCTTCACTTTGCCAAAATCAACCAACCAACAAAAGGACATATTTAATTCACCTTGGCAAAAAAAAAAAAAGGAAAAGAAAAGGGAAAAAAAAAAAAGGTCGGAAGGAGAAAAAGGTTTAAGTTGTTTGCTATTTCTGGCAGTGCTCAAGCTGTT